AGCCAAGCCTACCAGCTTGGACTGAGTCACCACTTTTACAAGTTCTGTGTATCTAATTGGGGATATCGATACGCTATCTATCGTTTGTTTGTTTGTTTGTTTGTTTGCTCGTTTATAATGAACCTGCCATGGTCTCAAGAACAGGCCGCACCACGGGTATATCCTCGATGCGTATCTTGGTCGCACTGGCGGCCTACAGAACGGCGGCCAGCTCGAAGCTTCTCTGAACCCCACCTGCTCTCAATCCAGCTTATTTTCCTTCTATTCCCAAGTGATGGGATATACCCTTGTTCCTTGTCGGGAGACTTAGCATGGGTCGCAACACATCTGTGATAGACCATCTCAGCAAGCCGCAGGCTCCATTCGAACGATGGATTAAATGAGGGCGAACGATGAAGAACAGATCGTTGTCCTGTTTTGATTCTGCATCTCGGTCCGCGTTGTGACGAGATGCAAAGACGTGAACCAAGTATCCATGTATGTAAATGCGCTCCACTAGGCCAACTCTTGGGCCAAAGGAACGGGACGTATGCAGAGATAGACAGATATAGTCAAGGCCAGAAAGCGGCATCTAAGAGGGCCAAGGTAAGCATTGGCAGTTTCTGTTTCCACATTACTGTGCTTCTCTTACTCTCCTTCGGGCCACTGCATCTTCACTGCGCTGCGCTGTGCTTTCAGTACGAAGGCACCATTTGAACTTCAGGAATCCTTTACATGCTGCTCGCCCACTGTCGGCACCCCCCTCCCATCACCCAGGGGCGATGGACCACTAGAAAGACTTAGACTTAAAAGCGGCGTGGTCTCTAGCTTCTGGCGACCCAGCACCCTGGTCCAAGCGGAACCAGGGAGCCCCATAAACTGGGCTTGTAAGCGCCGGGAAATGGTCTTCGAATATGTTATTGGCTAAGGGGGGGAAGACCATCACCCACCATGGAGGACGAGTTGACATGATTGGATCCGTGCTAAGCGCCCAGGGCTGTGGGCCGACGATTTCGATTCGGTTCTTAATGGATTGAGGACATAGCGACATGTAGAAGCGTTGTTTTCTGTCTATTTGTATAGCCCGTAATGGTAATGCCTGCGCTATGTTGTGTCGTGTTGGCTTGCTTCAGGTGCGCCTGTGTCTGCGTCTCCCCTCTCGCTCTCTTCTACTCTTGTCGATTTGTTTCGCGCATACTACCTAGCTACTGCGAGGGATACAATGCGCTAGCTGACCAGTTGGCGTGTTTCCAATGGGCCCCCGTGGTATTGTCACTGGGGACGCGACGATGTGAATCTTTGGTCCGCACCAGCCTGTGACAATATGCTGAACCTCACTGCCTGTGAACTTAAGCTTAGGCTCTTGTCACCTAACCCAAACTCAAGCTCATTCCATCACCTCTCGTCATCCAGGTAGCCAAGGTCCTGGGACACTATCGGTCAATCACCATGCAGTGAGAAAAATAAACACCAATCTACCCGCGTAATATCCGATTTACCTGAAGCCCAGCACATCATGGCATCGTGTTCAGCAAGCAGAAGCTCCTGAGAGGCTACAGAACCTGGATTGAGAGCCCTCGTAGCCTGTTCACTCGCTCAACCCACCGAATGCGCCAGTGACGAGATGCGCATGTGGTGATGTGACGACCCTGCGCATCACACCGTCTCGTTTGCAGTCCTGTTATTGGCTACCATGCACGTGAGATGCCCAGCTCACGCCTCCCGCCTATCTGAAACCAAGGAGGGATCCCCAGCCCTGAGTCTGAGATTAGAAACGAGTTTGAGACCACTGTGACCCGGCTGCTGGGTGGAACAAGGCCCCAGATCATGGTTCGAATGCTTTGCCAATTGCTAATGTTGGCTCAAAAGTCAGATCGTCGGATCTCACTCTTAGCTAAAACCTCTTTTCTTCACGCCCATGCGGATAATTAAGGTCTTCCCAGAACGAGACCATCACCGCCCAGGGTTTGGCTAGGTTGAATGCAGTGTAAAATTGCAGGTTGTTTGGGAGCTTGGGATGCATCTTTCAGCTCGATGGAAATCAGAATGCCCTGTCCCCGCCTTGCCTTGAAACGCGATTCAATAGCACGAAGTTCATTCTGGTCATGGGATCAATCCACTTCCCTCACTTCCTTCGCTAAGGCGTTGCAGAGGGCAACCTTTAACCCTGCTCCAGTAAGCACATGGATCCATAGCCGTTGAGTGTCACTCAGCCGGTCGTTGGCGCTCTTGACTTCTGAGAACATAACCTCTCCTTTTGGCCTTCCAGGCACCTCTTTTGAATCTTCTGGTAGATTATCAGTGCGCCACAGAATTAGATCCGGGATACCGCCGCCTCGTTGTCTGTACTCTTGAGCCATCACCTTGCATACTGCTGCAAGAGCACTTCCCTCGAAGCACCCAGCAAGCTCTACGAGGTCGTCAATCTCGAAATCCCAGTTAAGGCCCACCACACTTGTTCTTCTCTCATGTTCTGATTCCCAGACTTTCCGAATGAGTCGTGGAGCCTCTCCATTGGCAATCTCGACCAGTCTGTGATTGATTTCTGACGCTCGGGACGGGTAGAAAGCATCAGTGTGAAGATCCAGCGGACATGTTTGATATGCTGTCTGAAACACATTTGGAATATACAAAAAGAGAATATCGTAAAAGAGGTACGCGAAAAGAGTGCGAATAATCCCACCCTCAGCGTGATACCCCTTCCAACCATCTGATCGATACTGACTAAGACACATTGCTTCAACGCTGCACTCCTCTTGGGTGTCTAGCTCATCGAGCCATATTGTTTTGGTTGAAACTTGGCGACCGCCTTTCGCAATGATATCCTTCTTGAGTTGAATTCCTTTAATGGTGTGTTCGATAGGCTTTTGCAGATCAAGATGGCCAAAATCGTGTTGTAAGCGACGCGGTATACGCAATTTCTTTTCTAGCTTGACCAGACGTTTTTGCAAGTCATAGTGAAATATCAGATGGCAGTCCGGGTCTTGTAGGCCAGTCTCACAAGTAGCAACTGCAATCTTCTTCCAATGTTTCTTCTGCTGTTCGGGGTCTGTGAATTTGGGATTCGGGTCCAAAGCTGGCATATAATGCTCCTCCAGAAGAGCCTTTCGTTGATACCACCCGCCTCGTCTTGCTGGATGGAATAGCCGTTGATCAAGAAGCTCGGTGAGCAGCTCATGCTCTCTGAGATGTTGTTTGAGCTTTCCAAAAACTGGTGCTGCTTTATGAACAATTCTTGTATACGAATGGCCTGGCGTGAAACGTCTCAAGTAAGCGCCCTCTCCCATTTCATAGACGGCGTGCTCCTTGTGCTGCTCTTCTTCAACCAATATCTTCCATCGCGGGTAAACTTTCTCAAAAATGTTGACCATCAGCCTGAGACCATCATCTCCGGGTGGGCTACTGAATTCCCATGCATCGACTTCAGCCTCCAGACGGATGGCAGTTTCGTACTCTAGTAGGTGCTGGCGTGACATAAATATAGTAGAAGTTCGGCACACAATGTATTCAGGAAAATACCGTCTTGCAATTTTAGCAAGAATGATTGTTGTTAGTGATTTCTCTGTCCACTCCGTCGATCGATAGAACACAAGATGCACCCGTTCAAAAAGCTTGAAGGCTGAGGGCGACAATCGAATGCAAGGCCCAAGTATTGCGAGAATTTTTGTAAGAAAATGTTGCTCTCGGTTCGAATCTTCTCGCCGAAGCTTTGCGATGTCCTTTTCCTTGGCTTTTGCATCCAATTTTTCTTGGTCTTCGGCAACAGAACCACGGCTGTTGTGTCTGCTGAGGCCCACTGACATCAATCCAGACTGTTGCTTGCTCATCTTTACTAGTGAACGAATGAGTTCTGACTTATTGCGCCCTTGGACTTTTGCTTCCTTAGCAAGTTCTTTCAACTCGTCTAGGCTCAGCAGCGACGCAGCCTCTTCTACAGAATCGATATGATCTTCTGACCTATCGGCAAAGCTGAATGTTTCATCCAGTCTCGACTCTTCAAGTTCAAGATCATGAACTGGGCTCTGTATTGGAGTGGCTGTGTTCGCTGGCAGAATACGGGACGATTGTAGGGTAGTTATCGCTGCCTCGAGGTCCGAGATGTCGTTATGATATCCAAGACGGCTATGACGATGCCACGATGCAGTTTTCCTCAGAAAGAGCCTGACGTAGCTTTGAAATGTAAGCGAGTATCAGATTTGTGGTATTGCGTGAAGGGCATACAGATACTGAGCCTCATAGTTCAGCTCTCTCCATTGGTTAAAAACCTCGGTCTCCTTCCCATCAAATAAATGCGATTCTTCTTCTAGGACGGTATCAAGCGCAAGATTGAAGGCATCCACATAAATTGAGCTTCGTCCCTTGACCCAAAGTGACTGGGGTGTTTCTGTAGTGTCATGATCATCATGTGCAGAGGCCTGTGATGACTTCATTGTCTCATACTGCTCGACTGCTTCTTGACCTTCAGCAGTAGGTGGTAACGCGCTCTCAATGTCCGTGATTCGGGGGTGTTCCTCAATTTGGTATTTTGTTTTAGCTGCTCCATTATCAGCCAAGTCCTCCCTCGGTGAGATATCCTGGGGGTGATCAGGGCATAGGCCACCCTCGGAGTGTGGTGATCCATGCCGTTTGGCTCGCTTGGAAGGTCTCTCCTTTTCTGTTGAGTCACCGCGAACTTGCTCTCGAAGTTGGCTCGGCGCCTTAGGAAGCCTCGTCACGAATGCATCCATCATTCAAACTGTGCCATGTCGGATGAAACAAGAGCGGCAAGGGTAGAAGTTGAAAACACTATTAACGAATGGATGTCTTAACGATGTAGACGCGATGACAAAGACAAGGTACGCTAGCTAAACACGAAAGCACATGACCTCGCGGGGTGTCTGCATTATCGATTCTTATCTTGATCCGAGAATCAGCCGGCGCGACAGGATCATAATCGTCCACTCTAGCAGCTTCGATAAGTAACCTGCCAACAGAGCCATTCTGGTAAATGCCTTACATTGCATCGCCTGATCTCATCGACAATGGCCGACGAAACCCCCAGAACAGACTCAGCGGCGGATGCACCGCAAATTGTAGCACCAGCTGAATCTGCTGTCAATGGACATAACTCAGACCAGAAGGATGTGACAATGTCTGATGCGCCAGTCGATCACCCTGCAGTATGTCCTCTATATGTTCTTGGAGACTTCATGTCTAGATTCCGCTTATCACCTGGACCTGCCTCTCTTCGATAGTCAATTTCTTCTATCAGACGCCATTTGGAAGACAGACTATTAACTTCTTGACAGTCATCTCCTGCTCCAGCTACTCATGCGCCCAGCCCCATACCTGCACGAACAGGAACTCCGGCCCAAGGTTCCAGAGCTGCTTCTGCGCATCCGGATTCTGGTCTTAGCCTACCAGCCGAAGCTGCCCCTCATGGCGATTCAACACGACGATATCTCAACACAAAGGTTACCGGAGTATTGTTAGAGGGCGTGAAGCAACTAGCAAAAGACAAGTAGTTCTCACCTTTCTTGTGTATTGTGGATGGCGACTGACAACATCACAGGCCGAGCGATCCTCTGCGGGTACTAGGAGAGTATCTCATTCAAAAGTCAAAGGAACTGGAAGGCACTGGCTAGATCCACGTTATCACAAAATTTCCCGCGGCAGCACGCGATTGGCATGGTAGCGGAAGGCATAGATGGCGTTCAGGTTCAATAATTTTATGTCACTGGGTTGAGAATGTCCCATCCATACGCGCACGTTCAGCGGTCGAAGAGCTTTCTATTTGAGCGGTCGACGTAGCTGTTGATCCTCCCAGAGGGGGGCGAGCAGAAAGCATCGTGGCTCTAAATGCAATTTTCCATGTTTGTCCCCCAACTCCGTGACCCGGGTAACCATCACCACCAACCAATGCGGCCATTCTTCGTCATGTCTTCGCTTAAGCGACGATGGTGCTGGCAGTGGCGGACTCGTACTTCCAGGTAGGAGGGAGAACACCGACGGTCTTGTAGTAACGAGCCAGGCGGTGAATTCGGGACTCAATGAGAATGAGGCGGAACTTGGAGTCCTTATCCTTGCGGTTACGCTCAAGGTGCTTTCGGACGGCGACAGCCTTTTAATTTGTTAGCCTGGAATTGTGCGACGGAGAAAATTTTGACATGGCGTACCTTCTTGATAAGCATGTACAGATCCTCGGGGAGCTCGGGAGCGAGGCCTGTTAAGATCTCTCTGTCAGTCTCAACCGTACAGAGGCATTAAGGAGATGGTGATTCTCCGTTGTAGATGTATTTGTTTCCGTCGCCACATCCTTTATTCGTTTAGGGAACCGTACCGTTGGACTTGAGAATTCGGAGAATTCGGTTACCTGCGATTATTTGTTAGTTGCCTTGACCTTCAGCTTGCATGCGCGCAATCCTTACCGGTGACAAGCTTGACCTGGGCAATACCGTGACTGTCGCGAAGGACAACACCAATCTGAGAGGGAGTGGCACCCTTACGGGCGAGCTTGGCGATCTGCTCAACAACCTGCTCGGGGGTGGTCTTCAACCACGCAGGAGCGGAGCGAGAGTAGGGGAGAGCGGAGGCAGAAATGCCCTTTCCCTTGCTGTGAAGTCGGCCCATCTTGTCGGTTTGGCGTGGTGATGCTGGATGATCAGTGTTGGAGTCGTGGAGTTGCAAAATGATCTTTCGAGAAATGCCTTTTGTGTGCACTAGGTTAGGGTAGCGATGATGCGAATTGATTGGTCCGATAAGCTCCTATCCGACTTATCGACAAAAGGTCACGTGTGTGGTCCAAGCTCTGATGTCGCGTTTCTTTACCTTTCTTGTTGGCGCGATTCGAGTTTTTCTTTTCTTGAAGTTCTGCACGAAGCAGAGCTCTTTGAGCTCTGTGTCACAGCTTTCAATCGTATGGTAAGTCGCAACGCTCTTCATACCCTCCTAGTCGACCTCGACATGATGATAAATCACTTTTTACTTATTTCTGGTACCTCTTATGTTAGAGCCCTCGGGCTCAATGAATGAACAGGACTTCTGATCTGGCCATTTTGTTTGCAATTTGACTTGCTTTTCTCTGTTGGGCTTGACACTAACTGAGTACAGATCCCTCGAGTTACTTGCTCCTACTTGAAGCTGCGTTAGATTATTAGACATGTTGCAAATAGTTAGTACCTGCAATGTATGCTGTTCTTGATTCCACGCATGTGTACCAATCCAACAAATGTGTCTGGCCTAGTAGTAGTGAATCTCGCATTCCCGTAATAACGAATCCATATCAACACGATGCAGTACTTAGCTTGCACTTGAGTGCCTGCTCATACAAACGGTGGTTGGTAGTATTGAATTCGATGATACCAAATGCTGTGCCATGCCCTGTGTTTTACATTTTCAATTGATTCCCTACCCGTACACCGATAGAAGACTCCTGCCCCTTCAACCCATATACCCAAGGTAGCAAACAGAGTGTCTCCTTGGTCGCCGTTAATGGAAACGATATTACCTCTTACCACGCTCCAACGTCGAAGTTCTCCTACATGCCGGGTTAGTCGCTATGAACCAAAAACTAGAAATCCAAGCTTACCTCTGGGAAATATGTTGTCACGACAGTTCTGTCAGCAAACTTGCGTCCTGCAAGAGCTTGCAGAGCCTTTGCTGTATCTTCGGCTCTCTCGTACTTGACAAAGATCTTGCCTACACCAGCGGATTGTCGACTGCCACCAGTGGGTCGAGGAACTTTGACGTCGATAATTTTACCAAACTTGGAGCATTCTTCCTTAACGTCTTCGCAGATTTCTGAAGGCTTTGTTAGTAGGAGTTGATTGAAATCACAAAAGATCACGCACCCTCGTAGTCGTCGTTGTCCAAGAGCTCTTCAGCAGTCACCATGTTTAGAAGCTGAAGCACTCGACTGCTCTCAACCTCATTGGCAGTCTGAGAAGCAAGACCACTGATAGCGGTAATACCCACGTCGAAGTTGGCGACTTGTGTAGGACCGATACTGGCCTTGCTAACTTTGAGCTTCTTGCCTCCAATTTCCATCCCGTTGAGTGTGTCAAGCGCAGTTGGATTGGAGACAGCGGGGTCTTGATACTCGGCAAATGCGATACCCTGGGAATGTTAGAGAGAAAACCTCATTCTCGCACAACAGGCTGAACGTACTCTGGACTCTTCTGTCCCTCTGTCCTTGACAAGAACAAAAGCCTTGGGCTTGCCAAAGCTAGCCAGCAGTTCAATAATCTGCTCTTCTGTCAAGAAGGTGGGGATATTGGTAATACTAAGCTTGTTGACAGTGTCCGGAACGATGTTCGAGACGACCTCAGAGTCATAGGAGACTTCCTCAGTTACTGCAGGCACTACGTAGTCACGGGGCCGGCGAATTTCAAGGCCACGGTGACCTCCATCCGTACCATTCGATGCATCGCTGGCTTCCATAGATATTCCGTCCATTGCCAAAGCAACTGTTGCCTCGGGAGCATCTTTGAACTCGATGACGGCAAATGACCGGTCGTTGGAGAACTGGCACAGGATGCAAGGGTCTGTGGTGTCGATGACATTCAATCCATTCAGCTGGAGGTTGAAGAAAGACATGAGCGCCTCTTCGCTTGTACCTGAGGGGATTCTTGAAACCAACAGTCGCTTTGACTGGCGAGAGTTATTGGCTTTCAGTCCAGCGCTCGTCACTTGTCCACCAGGCTGGTTCATAAACGCCTGTAGTTTGCTCGGGTCCATTGGCTGTTGCCGAGGAGCGCCGGGAAGGGGGAACATGCCCGACAGCTTGGCCTGTTCAGCTGTAACATTCTCGTAGCCTGGAGGCTTGATATCCCACTGAGTCAGGCGACGCTTGCGGTCGAGGACAGGCACGATGTTGGTAAGATCTGGAGTAGGCTCTCGCTTCTTAGGTGGTGGGCTCGCGCTTCGGCGCTCCTGCTGTGCTGGAAATCTGTCCTCACGTCGATCTCTTCCACCGCGACGACGGTCTTCGTAGGGATCCCGGTCTCGCCTGTTAGGCCGCTCATCGTCGTCGCGTCTGGCATCTCGACGGGATGATCCTCGATCGCGATCCCACTCACGATCGCCACCTCGTCTTTCACGGCCCGAGTATCTATCTTCACGCTCACGGTCGCGGTGGTTTCGGCTGGACGAGTAGGCATCGACATCGCCTTCACCTCGTCGATGGCTTCGGTGCTCGGGTGAGCGAGATCGTCTGCGGTCGCGGTCGCGGTGTCGGTCTCGACGATCGTCTCTATCACCTCTTTCACCTCGAGGCTAAGCGGGATCAGCTTGAATCACATTTGAGAGGATGATATGGATTACTTACAGGATAATCTCGTCCCCTGCGCCCATCTGTGTGGTAATGATTTAGCGACGCGACGCGGTCAAGTATAACATTGCAGTGGGACTTACCTCGGGAAGAATAGCTGTCACCGTTCATACTTTTAGCAGCGACAAGCGACTCCAGAGCCTGGAAGTGTTCTCTGAAATTGATGAGTGCGAATGGTTGGAAGGCGGATTCGTTGATTCAAGCCGCAACGAGGTTCTAATTTCAAAGAGCTGGCAGGCATCGCGCGAGGCTGGAGCTTTTTTTGCCAGGAGGTGCCAACGTTAGTAAGGTTTGGGCCTAGCGCCACCTTTTAGGACTTGGCCTCTCGGCTAGGCTAGGCTTGGGCAGCTTGAGAAAAACTCCAGCAGGAAACAGAGCCGTCGAGGATAAAGAAATTCCATCAACTGAACTTACCTAGGTAGGTAGGTACGATAGGTATATTATTTGTACTTAAAAGCTGCCATAACTGATCCTATATAACCCCACCAAGTAAAATATCTAAAACTCAGAGTTAATGTATCAGCTATATGACAGATGGCTGTTCATGAACCCTTAATGCTGGATTTTGGCTTGTGTTTGGAGTCAGGTAGGCTCTCAAATTCCAGGGGCTACAGCGTTTATCATAGCACATTACATCATCAGCCTTGAGTCGCCACAGGAGATCAACGAGAGGCAGTGTTGATTTCAAGCTGCCAATTCGTTCTCTTGACGCATCTTTTTTGCTATTGCCTCTTCCAACAACCGTAGTCGGGCTGAATCCTTTTCTCAATGTCTGTCGTGGCGAAGACGGATTGGCATAAATTGCCTGTTACTCTAGGAGAGCTTTGCATCAACACCACCTTGAGATGTGGGCAGTCCTTTAGATGGCAAAAGATTAACCATGAATGGTGAATTACTATCCAAACCGCAGCCTCTCGACTTTGCTAACACTTTCAGGACCTGCACTTTGCATGGTCGACTTCTTCACTTGAAGCAGGACTCAACTCATCTGCACTATCGGGTCACCTTTCCAGCACCCAAACCTTTGACGCCAGCACCCAACAACACAGAGGCTCTCCTAAGGCACTATTTCAACCTGGATACTAGTCTCGAGCCGCTTTACAAACAATGGTCCGATGCTGATGCCAACTTCAAAAAGAGGGCTCCCCAGTTTAAGGGGGTTCGAATTCTCAGTCAAGATGCCTGGGAGACATTGATATGTTTTATCTGTAGCAGCAACAATAATATTACCCGGATATCACAAATGGTGAGTGTATACTGTTTGCGAAGGCTTTGACTCATAATTGATCGGGTATCCAAGGTGTACAAGCTATGTCAGAATTACGGTCCGCTCATTGCATATATGGGAGACGAGCCATTCCATGACTTCCCATCGCCTCAAGACCTTACGGGAGATGATGTTGAATCGCACCTTCGAGAATTAGGCTTCGGATATCGGGCAAAGTACATTGCTGAAACAGCACGGATGGTTGCCAACGAGAAGCCTGAAACCTGGTTGGAAAGCCTTCGAAATCCCGACCAACCGGGCTTCAACACAACGCCTGTACCGAAGGAGAACCATGCGAGTTACAAGGAGGCACTTGCGCAACTACTCACTTTGAAAGGGGTTGGTCCCAAGGTTGCCGACTGCGTATGCCTCATGGGCCTCGGCTGGGGAGAGGCAGTTCCTGTTGACACCCACGTTTGGCAAATCGCTCAGCGAGACTATAAGTTTGGAAAATCAAAGGCCAAGACACTGAACAAGGCCACTTACGAGGCTGTTGGGGACCACTTCCGAAGCCTCTGGGGGCCGTTTGCCGGCTGGGCTCACTCAGTTCTCTTTACCGCTGATTTGAGAGAGTTTGCAGCTCAGGCAGCAAAAGAAGAGGACGAGCCTCTTGTAGTCAAACTGACGGCGCATGGTTCCACAGGACATACGACATCAAAAATGAAGAAGACTATCACGATCACCGACAGTGACACATTGGTAAAGGAAGAAACACATGTCGTTGAACCCAGATATGAGCAAGGGTTGGGGGAGGTCAAACAGATGAGAAGGTCAAAACGAGTGCGCACTTCGTAAGAGTGCCTTTCGACGTCTAGTTAGGATGAGTCAAGGAAGTAGATCTAATGGCTGCTATGTCGAAGTAAGGCAATCTATAAATATTGAATGCTCGATTTGTAAGGGTGGGTTGGTGAGTTGGAGTCTCATGATGTTAAGACTTATACCCATAGACTCACCATAAGAAGATATTTACATTTTCCCTGAATCTGAGGACCTCTGGCACTATGCCATGGCTACATACAGAATGCAGGTTGATGCATGATATGATTCGATTCGCTGTTTCTCGACATGCGACCTCAGGTCAATGCAAGTTCTCGGGACGGTACTTGTCATGATATTTCAATTCTAAACCTCCTCTTACTCCAAGTTCACTATTCGTCATGTGATACTTCTTACCAGTGTACCAATTCCTGATGTGGTTACCAGAGGCCAAAGCATTGTTGACAATTTGCCTCTTCCAGTAAGCGGGCACATGCATGAATCTAAAGCGGCTAAAACTCGGGTGAAGAAGATCGCCCCCCAACCTAGGAAAGCTTCGCCAAGGAGTGTAATTTTGCGACCACTCATCATCTACTTTCAACTCTCCATGCGCAACGATAACGCCTCGAGCGCCCCTTGTCCTCTCGAACCGGGATGAAGCTGCGAATGCCATAATCCAAAATGTCTGACGCGGATTTCGAGACCATCAAGAAGCTCCAGCAGGAGCGAAATGCTGCCTCTGCTGGTAACAAGGGTTCGCGAACCTTTGATGCAGCAAATCAGCGAGTCGACGATACTAAGCAGAAGTTGACCGACAGCGCCGACGGTACCCTCTACGATCGTGATGGAGGTGATAGATTCTCCGGTTATCACACCTCGCTACCGATGGGTGATGAAGATGAAGATATGGGCGACGTTGACGACACGCGACGGTTAGTTGGCCAGTATACCGCATCGCGAGAGACAATTGATGAGTTCGCTCGTGGAGGTGGCGTGGAGGAAGATGATATCCTTGCTGGGAAAGGCGAGAAGAGTGGTCGAATTGTCGATCGTGAGACAGATTATCAAAAGCGTCGATTCAATCGCGCCCTCACTCCCACACGCGCCGATCCCTTTGCCGAGGACCACCAGGCTGGCGTTTCTGAGAACGGCACCAGTTACCGCGAGATTATGGAGGCTCGTGAACTAGAAAGGGAGGAGCAGCGCGTTTTGCAAGCCATCAAAGCGAAGCAGGAGGGCAAGACTGGCGATGATGGCGATGCACAACCCATGCTAACAGATAGCCATGTCGAGGATGAAGCTACCGAGGCTTCTTCGACCGCTCGGAAGCGCAAGAAGCGATGGGATGTGTCATCAGCACCCGCCGAGGATGATACCGCCGAGGCCGGCGAAGCAGCGAAGCCCAAGCGTTCACGATGGGATCAAGCTCCTGCGCCTGGAGCAGAGGTTTCTAAGAAGCGTTCGCGATGGGATCAGGCCCCTTCTGCTACCCCTATGGGCAACACAGGGCTAGTTACTCCTGCGCACCCGTCATCCGCACCCACTCTGCCAACAACTTTTGGTACCGACATTGGTCGAAACATGCCTCTCAGCGACGAAGAACTCGACCTCCTCCTACCTGGCGAAAGCGAGGGTTACAAGATTCTTGAGCCCCCCCCTGGCTACGAACCTGTCCGTGCTCCAGCACACAAGCTTATGGCTACCCCTGCTCCCCAATCAGGCTTCATGATGCAAGATCCTGAACAAGTACGCTTCAGCGGAAAGCCAATGCCTGCTGAGATTCCCGGGGTAGGCGACCTACAGTTCTTCAAGGCCGAAGACATGGCGTATTTCGGAAAGCTCACTGATGGTTCTGACGAGAATGCTCTAACGGTTGAAGAGCTGAAGGAGAGGAAGATCATGAGGCTTCTGTTGAAGATCAAGAACGGTACTCCGCCAATGAGAAAGACCGCTCTTCGCCAGATTACCGATAATGCCAGGCAATTCGGAGCTGGTCCCCTGTTTGACCAAATCCTACCCCTACTCATGGAGAAGACGTTGGAGGACCAAGAGCGCCATTTGCTGGTGAAAGTTATTGACCGAATTCTCTACAAGCTCGACGACCTTGTGCGCCCCTACGTCCACAAGATCCTGGTCGTTATCGAGCCATTGCTCATCGACCAAGACTACTACGCGAGAGTGGAGGGGCGCGAAATCATTTCTAATCTGAGCAAGGCTGCTGGTCTTGCTACCATGATCAGCACTATGCGACCTGATATTGACCACGTCGATGAGTACGTCCGGAACACAACAGCACGAGCCTTTGCCGTGGTAGCGTCAGCCCTTGGCATCCCTGCTTTGCTACCCTTCCTCAGGGCTGTCTGTAGAAGCAAGAAGTCATGGCAAGCCCGCCACACGGGTGTGAAGATTGTTCAGCAAATCCCTATTCTAATGGGCTGTGCCGTGCTTCCTCACCTCAAGGGTCTTGTTGAGTGTATTGGGCCTAACCTCAACGATGAACAAACAAAGGTCAGGACAGTCACCAGTCTGGCCATTGCCGCATTAGCTGAGGCCTCTAACCCTTATGGTATCGAGAGCTTCGATGACATCCTTAACCCTTTATGGACGGGTGCCCGCAAGCAGCGAGGTAAAGGTCTTGCAGGTTTCCTCAAGGCTGTTGGTTACATCATTCCCCTGATGGACGAGGAGTATGCCAACTACTATACCAGCCAAATCATGGAGATCCTGCTTCGCGAATTCTCGTCACCCGATGAAGAAATGAAGAAGGTAGTTCTCAAGGTTGTCTCTCAGTGCGCTGGGACAGACGGTGTTACTGCAGGATACCTTAAGGAACATGTTTTGGACGAGTTTTTCAAGAGTTTCTGGGTACGAAGGATGGCCTTGGATAAGCGAAACTATCGACAAGTGGTGGAAACAACTGTTGACATTGGCCAAAAGGTTGGAGTCAGCGAAATCGTGGAGAGGATCGTCAACAACCTCAAAGACGAGAGCGAACCATACCGAAAAATGACTGTCGAAACGGTGGAGAAGATCGTTGCAAGTTTGGGCGCAGCAGATATTGGCGAGCGCCTAGAAGAGCGGCTTGTTGACGGTATCCTTCATGCGTTCCAGGAGCAGAGCGTCGAAGACATCATTATGCTTAACGGCTTTGGTTCTGTTGTCAATGCCCTGGGAGCCCGCTGCAAGCCTTACATTCCTCAAATCGTCAGTACTATCCTATGGCGACTCAACAACAAGTCGGCAACGGTTCGACAACAGGCCGCAGATCTGATCTCTCGAATTGCTATGGTTATGAAGCAGTGTGGTGAGGACGCCCTCATGGGTAAGCTTGGTGTTGTGCTCTACGAGTATCTGGGCGAAGAGTATCCAGAAGTTCTCGGATCTATCTTGGGTGCTTTGCGGTCTATTGTTACAGTTGTTGGTATTGCGCAGATGCAACCGCCCATCAAGGAGCTGCTCCCACGACTGACCCCTATCCTGCGAAACCGTCACGAAAAGGTTCAGGAGAATACGATTGACCTTGTCGGCCGTATTGCGGATCGGGGACCAGAGAGCGTCAATGCCCGAGAATGGATGCGAATCTGCTTTGAGCTGCTCGATATGCTCAAGGCTCACAAGAAGGGCATTCGACGAGCTGCGAACAATACGTTCGGTTTCATTGCTAAAGCTATTGGTCCTCAGGATGTGTTGGCAACTCTGTTGAACAATCTTCGAGTGCAGGAGCGCCAGTCCCGTGTTAACACGGCTGTTGCCATTGGTATCGTGGCCGAAACTTGCGCTCCCTTTACAGTTCTTCCTGCTCTCATGAACGAATACCGTGTCCCAGAGCTCAATGTGCAGAATGGTGTGCTCAAGTCACTTTCCTTCCTTTTCGAGTATATTGGCGAGATGGCAAAGGACTACGTTTACGCAGTGACTCCCTTACTGGAAGACGCTCTCATCGACCGTGATCAGGTCCACCGTCAAACAGCAGCTTCTGTCGTCAAGCATATTGCTTTAGGCGTCGTTGGTCTTGGATGCGAGGACGCTATGGTGCATCTCCTCAACCTTCTGTACCCAAATCTGTTCGAGACTAGCCCACATGTCATCGATCGTATCGTGGAGGCCATTGAGGCCATTCGAATGGCAGTCGGGCCAGGCCTGGTGCTCAACTATGTTTGGGCGGGCCTGTTCCATCCGGCAAGAAAGGTCAGAACCCCATACTGGCGCTTGTACAACGATGCATACGTTCAGGGGGCTGACGCGATGGTGCCATATTACCCAAATCTTGATGAAGACAAGATGGATAGACCGGAGCTGGCGATTGTGCTGTAAGAATTTGTATAGGCAGGCAAGATTGGCTTCACGAGGATACTTCGATTGGTGATAGCAGGGGTCTATCCCAAGGACTTTTCTTTTCTTGCCTTAAGTATGGATGGATTTAGGGAGGCTAGTAATTCGGAATGCTGTACGTTGAAAGGGGGTCATTGCATGCGTCAGGGCGTTCTGATAGATAATAAAAACGGCTTCAATGTTTCAAATGTCTGGTGGTATTGCACCGAGTGCTAATCTCCTGTCTCATAACCATGTGAACGATGTCGACTTGCTTCCCAACCCCTTTTACCTAACAATGATCTGAGTGTTGACCGCTTGCTGGGTCAATGAACGGATGATTTGCCAAGACTGGTGTAGCACTCATTTCAATTCTCATCTCACCTCACCTCACAGCGGAGCCTCCGACTTCGCATGTTCGTTACAGCTACAGGGATGAAGCAGAGTTTTGGGGTCCTTCAACCGAGCTGGTGGTTTCACCTCATTAAGAAGAGCGACGATCATCCCAAGGCAGCAGTTTAGCTAGGCATTAGCCTGGCGGCGATTTATTGACAGTTATCTCACCAAAGGATTCTCCATAACTCAGCAGCCGAAAGTAACATTGGCGAATTGAGCATGTTACCTTTCAGGTCGCCATGAATCTCAGCCGGACGCTTGGACCTGAAAGATCCCCAAAGCCTTGGAAGGCTGGCTTGGGTTGGCTATCCATACCAACGACTTTGTCTGTA